AGTAAATTGAAAGATCAAGTGCAGCTGTGATTGTTTTAAATACAGTTTACCATTAGAAGCTAGAGAATACATTGCCTTCAAAGGCATAGTTTTTAACAGGAAAATATTTCTAAGAGTGATAGACTTGTACTAGTGTTTGCTATCTGTGTTGCAAGCATGAGTGTAAATCAAATGCTGGCATTTCTACTTTATAATTAAAGTTTGTGTTCACAGTGAAATCCCTTGGTGTGTGGACAATTGTATATGATCTGCATTGGGTTATAATTTTATTTTTTTTTTTTAGAAATATACTGTGAAAACAAACACGAAAATGTGCCAGAAAAAGGGGGAACAGAAAAAAAAAAAGGAAGGGATTCTGAAACCAGACAAATACTGTGGGGAGATGCTTGGAAATAAACTATTGCAAATAAAAATGTTTAATATACAGGTTTAGTTGAGAAAACTGGATAAGAACAAGATTTTAAGAAGGTTGTCACCTTTTGGTGAGAGTTCTTAGAGGTAGAAATTGCCAAAAAAATATTTCCACAACACAAGAAAACCCAAGTCCTAAACGCCAGCCTCTTTACTGCTTCAGTATGTAAAAAGCTAAAACAGTAGCAAAATATATACATATACATAAATCCACTGGTGCAAACATGAAACATTGTGATACCTCTTTAAAAAATGTTGTAATAATGAAGGATTTTGACCTTCTCGAACCCTAACTAAAAGGTTAACTTAAAAGTGACTGATTTCTAATTTCTCTAACTCCAGGGTTCTCTCTGGGATTAGAATTTCCTGGATGGAAAGTAAAGGCATTAACATAATGCATGTAGTGGCAGCAATGCAGCCTTATTCTTGCTGGAGCAGTGGCAGATGCAGAGAAAAGGTTGCAAAGGCTGACTTTAACTGTCCCAATGTAGAGAAGGTGGTTTTGAACAGGGATTCATCCTAGAGCTGAATTCTTAATTCTCTAAATTGCCTCCTGGCTAGGCTAAGTAAAGCAATGTAATTATACTGAAATAAGCTTTTGTGAATGCTCCTACTGTGCTAGAACTTTTCAGATAATGTGACTTGTTCTGCAGTTGCAGTTGATCTTTGCAGTCAGTGCAACACATAGGAAAAGTGTACACCACAGTGTCAAAGCTGGTGGGCAAATGCTGTAGAGTTTATTTGTGCATGTCCACTGGCATTTTGCATGTTATTTCTAGGCAACAGAGCTGCTGCTCATGACTGGTTGGCTACTCGATAGCTTAAATCCCAAACAATGGCTGAAGTTCTCAGCCACTTGTCCAGGTCATGTTTTCAGCCAGGAATAAAAAAAAAAGAAATGCATGGAAGCAAATTCTTCTGTTTTTGAGCAGCCAGAGATTTTTTAGAATGCTGCTGAACATAGTCTGCCTTACCATTGATCTGCATGACAGTCCTCAGATACCCTTTTTCACTATTGTGCCACAAAAAGCTAATGCTATAATTCAATATTTACAACCTGTAAATAAGCAGTGATGAGCAAGCAGCCTTAAGGGAACTACCGTACCCAAAAGGCACCTGACCTGTGAGATTCTTCAACAGCACAATGACACTTAGCTGAATTAATGTAATCACAACTCAAAAGAAGCATCCTTTCTCCTGTCTCAGGAGGTAGATACAAGCTAACTCCATCTGCCACACCGCCTTCCCTTCTAGTTTCCTTGATGTTACAGGATGTCCCTTGTCAAGATTTGCCTCAGATCTTAACTGTTCAGCTCTGCTCTTTCCTGCTTTCTTTCTCCTAGTAGCTAGGCTTGCTTCCAGACATCTTTAAATCTGTTTTCATGAACCCATTCATTGCTGCGTGGGATGTCTGAATCCAACCACAACACATGGCACATTCACTCTTTGAGTGGTTGATAGTCATGGGAAGTCTCTGCATGCATTGTGTCATATTTTGGGTCTTCCCCCTGACGCTTGCAGTCTGACTTGCAGTTTACAAAACCACTGAAGTCCAATTAGCCATGTGCTAAATTGATACACCTGTTTTGGATCTGAAGATCAGGTTAAGATCACTAGACTTCCTCTGTGGTTTTTTTTAGGCTAAATTTTGGTGGCAAGTTTGCTCTGGGAGCATTCTGTGAGATTTCACATACATCCCCACCCTTCTGTGCCTATAGACCGTATAAGCTTAAACTAGGTCTGTGCAGTAACTGGTTACTCTGCTGTTAAAGATAGATGTGAAATGGCTATGTCTCCAGAATTTTGCCTAACTGCCTTTCATCACTATTCAGAACCAACTCACTCAAGCTGCTTTCCTTGACCACACTGTGGGAGCGTTGCTAAGATTTTGCACTGTTTTTTTCCTAAATTATTCTCTGGATATATGAATTGCTTTACTTTCCCCTCCATTATGAGTTTTCCATGTTCTTTCCAGCACTTGAAAACATAAGTTTAGTTTAAAATAAGCTGCAGTGGAGTTATGGCAACTTGAGAGCTTGATGTCATTTCACACCTCTGAAATAAGCACAGATGTGTCCACTTTGTCCTCTGTCTCAGAAATACCATCCTTACTGAACCTGCACTGGCTGTGTATGCCCTAGAGTCTTCCTTGCACAGTAGTATCTGCTGGTTCTTGTAAATGATACTGCAAAATTTCTACAAGAGCTTTGTTGTTTTTAAAATTTTTTGTAATAAAGAAATGTTCTTACTCCTAGTGTAAGTGCTCCACAAGAGTGGAGCTTTTGAGCACCCTTTTGCCATTGTCTCCCTCAGCCACTGATGTTATTCAGAGTCTAGAGTGTTGGAAAGGCACTGCTGATAAAATTAGCAGCTTCATCAGCATCAGATGCAACAACCCCAGCTTCCTAACAGGTCCCCTATGTGTATCAGGAAGGTAAAATTGAGAGGAAATAAACTATGAGGGGAGACCAAAGAGAGCACTTTATCTGTAGTATGAGTATGGTGCAGGGTCAGATAAGACGCAAAGTACCTGATAGTATTGCTGCGCTGAAATAATGACCTGCAAATGTGGTTAGTTATTATGCTGCTTTACCATTAGTGTGATTTCTTCTGTTGCAAAGCAGCAGAGTTAAAAAACACCAAGGGAAGATCCTCTTCAGAATAACTTAATGTGACGCCAGGTGGCTGTGCTTATGATTAAATGAACTTATCCAGTGCAGAAGCACACAGGGCAGCACAAAACAGAAACTTGCTCTTCCCATACGTCGTGGTTTAACCCCAACTGACAACTAAGCACCACACAGCTGCTCTCTTGCTCCCCCTCCAGTGGGATGGGGGAGCAAATTAGAAGGATAGAAGTGAGAAAACTCATGCATTGAGGTAAAGCCAGTTTAACAGGTAAAGCAAAAGCCAGATGCATAAGCAAAGCAAAACGGGGAATTAATTCCCCACTTCCTACGGGCAGGCAGGTGTTCAGCCAACTCCAGGAAAGCAGGGCTCCATCACATGTAACAGTAACTTGGGAAGACAAACACCATCACTTCCAACATAACCCCCTTCCTTCTTTTTCCCCCAGCTTTTGTTGCTGAGCATGATGTCATATGGTGTGGGATAGCCCTTTGGTCAGTTGGGGTCAGCTGTCCCAGCTGTGTCCACTCCCAACTTCTTGTGCATCCCCAGCCCACTTGGTGGGGTGGTGTGAGAGGCAGAAAAGACCTTCACTGTGTAAGCACTGCTCAGCAGTAACTAAAACATCCCTGCATTGTCAAGGCTGTTTCCAGCACAAATCAAAAACATAGCCCTGTACTAGCTACTGTGAAGAAAATTATCTCAGCCAAAACCAGCATACCCCAGCCAGATGAAAGACAGGATCAAGGTTTAACTGTGAAATGAGAATGAGAAAGACTTTAGAGACTTTCTACTCCAAATGAGCTTGGTTCTGGTCTCAATTTCATTGCCCTAAGAACAGATAGTAATTTGTATTAGTCAGTTGCTGAAAGAATTCAGAGAGCAGGTGTAGGAACTAAGGGCCCTAACTTCTTTGGTAGCCAGCCTACCTCCCTGAGCTCCACTATCAGTAGTCTCAGATTTAATGGGATATAGGGTAGCAACCCGAACAGTCTCCCTCCCTCCCCAGAGCTCCTGGTGGGCAGGCAGTTAACACATTGCTGCAGGCTGTAATTTCAAACACTCTGAATGAAGAATTAGAGCCCAAGTTTACTCTTTTCTGGGTGAGTCTGAAGCTACCCGCTGTCCACTCAAGAGGGACAACTTGACTACCTAAAAATGTAAAGTGAATTCAGTGGTGATGGTGTGTCCTAAGTATGGCTGGATGAGCCCTGCAGAGGCTTCACCAATGCCAAAGCAGTCGAAGCAGTAGCACCTTGTGCCACATCCAAAAGGTTGCAGTGAGGAAGTCCCCTCCAGGAAACTAATGGGTCTGGTCCCTGGGAAAGCAGGGACGTGAATTCACAACCAGTATGAAAAGGACACACATCTAAAACCAATTTCTTATTACAATAGAAAATAATTTATTATCTCTCTTAAAATTGTAATCTATTTCTACACATAAACAAATTCCCTTTTAAAAAGGGATAATTTATGTGGCTCTGCAGGAACCTATTGGTGCTTTGTTTCTACATCAAGAGAGTACTGTTCCCATGTCAGTAATCTCAGTCAGCATATCTGCCTTTGGGGTAGATCCTCAAGGATTTTCAGAGCCACTGGAATTAACTAGGAATAAATTGTAACTGAGTTATCAGTGGGGCTGTGTGATACTGCTCATCCGTGGCACAGCTGTGTGCTCAAATCCGTTTCTGGCAGCGAATCACGAGTGCCAGGCCAGCTCTGAGTAGGAGCCATCTCCACCCTCGGCACCTCGGAAACATTTCAGGGCAGGACAACGGGGTTCGGCAGGGAGAGCAGAGCCTGCAGAGGCCCAGGGGATGCTCGGTCACTCGCCCGGCCGGCTGGCGGGGGCACCCGCCGCCTCCCCCCTTCCCTCCCTCCCTCCCGCCGCTGCTGGCCTTGGCTCCGCTGCTCGCTCCCGCGGCCCCGCTTTCGATTTCACTTCTTCCGGCTCGGAGGAAACCAGTTTCCTCATGGTTTTCGTGCGCTGAGGAACTTGTGCAGTGCCTGGATGCCTCCGAAGTGAAGGAGATAAAACCTGCGGCGGTAAGCGGATGCCATCTTCACTTCTTAGTGATCAGTGCGACTGTATCAGAGGTACAAAGACTGCTCGGGAGTTTGGGCAATTCGCTTGACCTTGTATTCCTCCTAACTTGACAGTGAGCGAAGTCGGTGCCACTGCTGTTTGCTTCATGATTGTGCTTTGGTGTCCGGATGTGGTGCCCCTGTACAGCTGACAATGTAATTTGGTTTGGTTTTTTGTTTTTGTTTTTTTAAAAGGCAATAAAGGTGAAGTGGGAATGTCCCTCCCTGGGAGATGCTGGAGGCTCCCCTGCTGAATTCTCTAGTTTCTTAAAGTTCTTGCTCATTAAAACTGTCTTTCTTTTGTTCATTAAGTGTTATTCTGTAATGCTGTCCCTTCACTCTGATAATGGGTGCATGCTTTCTTCACTGGATCCCCAACCAAAACGTGCAACACCTGAAGCTGACTCCAGACTTCCTGCAATTAAAAGAAGAAAAAGGCAAACCTTCAGGCCTCACTGGAGTCAGCCAGAGAACTTGGTCTGTGTTTGTGCAGTACATTTCTTGTGCCTTTGGAACTTAAAGAGGAGTTAGAAACAGCTGCTGAGGAGCCTAGCAGTTATCTGATCTCCCTAAAACCAAACCTCAGAAGGATGCAGGTCAGAGAGAAAGCTTTTGTTAGAGACAACCTCTCCCTTTGTTTTCTTTAGCTCTTCCATCAGCTGGGGTGCAGAGGGATGAGGTAGGGGAAGTGGTTCTTTATTTTCTTCAGGTACAGGGACACGGGTTTTGTGTTCAGCAGCAGCTGTAGCAGGTCAGGCTGTCTGTAGGACTATCAGGTTTAGTGATTTGCCCCTCCCTCCCTTTTCCTGTTTGCCAGTGGCAGGTGAGTGGAGAGCCAGACTGTGTGAGCTGCAGAAGGGTCAGGCCCACAGGCAGTGCCCAGCAGGGAACTGTTTTGTCATAAACGTTTATTTTAAATCATCTTTTGTAGCCCTTTGTGTATGCTTTTGCAATGCTTTATGCCCCTCTTTCCCTCGCTTGTAACCCTACTCCCATTGGATTTTATTGATGCCTTTCCCTAGATGGCCAGGTTGTTCCCACAAGGGGCACTCATAGGTTTCCCCTCTGTGTACTTTTTTTTGCCACTGGAGATGTCCTAATGCATGCCTTCCGAAAAGGCAGATCACCTACAGAGTCAAACTCTGCTGGGGTCTGACCTGCTAAACTGTTTGGCTGCAGATTGCGGTGTTGGTTCCTCAGTACATTTGTTACGGCAGTGAAAACTCTTCTCTTTAAAAAATAAATCAGTCTGAAGGCTTTTTCTGTACAAATGTGCTTGTTTAATTTCTTGTTTCACTGTTTGCTATTGAGCAATAACCTAATGTGCTCAAAGGTAAATCATGTTAATTAAGCACAGGTTCCAAGCGAAGGAAAATGTGAGCTGCAGAACTAAGAAAGCTCATATTCCTCAAGAAGCTCTTCTAGATTCCTGTTAAGTCTAGTAAGGTTAAATTCCCTTCTATAGCCTGTTCTGAAGTGGAGCACTGATAGTATTCTCTGCCTGGGAGCTCATCATGCTGAGACTTAACTCTGGAAAATTGAGGTTGGCATGTAGGTTCCAAATATGTTGGCAGAAGGCCATGCAGATATGTGTATATGGATATTGTGGAGATACTCAAAGACTTGGGGGTGAAAGTATAATTTTTTAAATTTTTTTTAAAAGAAAAAATTGAAGTGGAGGAACCTAAGCTTACTGTCCTTTCCTAAAGCACGGATAAATATTTTGGCAAGCACTCCCAAAGTATTTGTTCTCCCTCTCCTAAAGATTAAATCTGTAGAGAATGATAGGGAAGATACACTGGACTCTTCTCTTGATTAGCAGAAATACTATTTAATTAGACAAGCTCTATGGCTCAGCAGGCTAGTCAAACCCTTCTGAGCTCTTCCAGCTCTATTCTGGTCAGAATTTGTGTGGAATTAATTTTATTCCTTATCTAGTAAAGCTGTATTACCAAATCGCCAGGTGAATGTAAATCTTATGAATACTAAATTGAAGCTGAATAAAACATGAAGTCAGATTCATCAGAAATGTAATGCCTAAACAGGCAGAACCATTGAAGATTAGAGCACCAGTGGGCAGAGATTGATATCCTAAGGAAATGCTCCAAAGATAAGGGGTGGGGTATATAAATTCTTAAATGTGTAAGTTTTCTTCTGTGAAGTATTGAGTCTATGGACAGTGTTCTCTACATCTTGGCTCTTCTGTTTTTTTCTCTGACTAGGTTGGTACTGATTTATTTTGTCAGCTCTTACTTTCATACAAATCCTTCTGTGGCCTGGTATTTCTTCTTTCACAATGAGATGGAAAAACAGAATTTAGTGTGGCTGGCTTGTAAAACAAAAAATGGCAAGAATTGTAAAATAGAGAAGTTGTATATTAGACGTTCTGACTGCATAAAACTAAAAATATTTTACATGCAGTTAAGCTCAGAGTATGGTGATTAACATTGACGGGCCTGTGTATAAATATTTATCACTGTGGTTAAGCTCAGAGCTCAGTCACTAACATTGAGGGGGGCTGTGTGTAATTTGTCATATTTGTTGTATTTTATGCAAGTTAAAGCAATGCAGAATTAATCAGAAAGGGAAAATGGTTGGAAATTTGCATTCATAATAGATAAAGTGTTGTTAGCTTTTTGAACATAGTAATTTTTATGTAAGACAATACTAACTATTGTTTTTAAAGAAAAATCTTAATTTAGAGAGAGTATTAGACATACCTTCTCTGCAGAAATATAATGGTACTTTATGGGTAAGAAATACTGAGTGTTCAGTACACAACTACATGTTTTTTGAGCCTGGCTTGCATAGCCTTCAGTTTAAGATGTAAGTTGTGTCAAAATGTTATAATTCATACTGTGTTCATTTTGCCTTTGCAGATAAACCAATGGGAAGTGATGTTCTTTGGTGGAGTCGCTTATCTGTCCGACTGGTGTCTGTATGCTTGCTGTATGCATCAGTTGGGAAGCAATGTCAGATCCAAAATGAAATGGCTGACTGCAGTCACCTAAAGCTGACTCAAATTCCTTCTGATCTCCCGAACAATATAACGGGTTTGGACATTTCTCATAATCAGCTAAAACAGCTAGGTCCTGCAAATCTCACCAAGTACAGCCAGCTGGTTTACTTGAATGTAGGCTACAACAGCATCTCTAAACTGCAACCAGAATTGTGCCGAAATGTGCCCCTGTTGCAGATTCTGAAGTTGGAACATAATGAATTATATAAGCTCCCTGACAGAGTCTTTGCTTCCTGCACCAATCTGACTGAGCTCAATCTAGGATACAACAGAATAGATATAAAAAATGATCCTTTCAAATCCCTGGAGGTAAGCTGTAGAAATGCACCTTTTCCTTTAAATAAAGTATGGGTGGGGAATTTACTGTATTTTCCAGTATGTGTGTAAAACAGCTGCCTATTTGCATCTGAAAATACCCAGCATATAATCTTTGTTCATTGTTTTTCTAAAGAAAAACCTCTTGTGTTAGAGCACACTGGAGTCTCAGCTGTCCTTATGAGTCAGTGCTCTTCATCCCCTTTTTCCTACTGCATCCCATCAGGACACCTCTTCCTACAGAATCTGTGCTGAGGGAACAGCAGCAGCTGATGACATATGAGGCAAAGTGGATGGTGTGGAATGGGAGTTGCCTGGGGTTTAAAAATGGTAGCTAGCCTAAATTCTCAAGGTCGAGGCATAATTACTCAGACCGTGAAAGCCAGTGCTTAGGCTGAATGTAGCGTCTCACGGGGCTTTGGAGATTGAGATCCTTTGTTTTTCCTTGTAGTTTACATGTGGTTAAATATTCTTCTTTGTAGCATGTATGAGGTTGGGGGAGCAGCACAGGAGGCAGGATAAGACTATGCCATTGCTTTGCACCAGGCAGGGAATCATGCAAAATGAAAGGCCTAAGGACAAAAGAAAATAGAGACAATATGTGGGTACTAATTGTTGTACAGTGTTCTCATGAGCGTGCATGTTGTTTTGAACAAGGCTGAACTTTTCTGTTAAACTCAGTATTCCAGTTCAGATACCTAAAATCTACTTGCTTGCATTGTAGGACTGCTGTCTCAACTAAGCACAAATGAATACAGGCAGCTTTGGTACTGGCAACAGGACTGAAGTTGTGGCCTTCCTCACTTTGCTGCTGCCCTGTTACTGATGGAGGCCAAGGCTTGGGGCACCTCAGGGCACATTATGTGAAGTCACCTTTAGGCCATCATCTCCTCCTCTGCAGATGCAGGAGGAGTCTGAGCACCTGGGCATGAGCTGGAGTATCACAAGGTGTAAGCACTGATCTTTGTAGGCTGTTACTGCACTTCTCTTCCCCTTCCTCGCTCCTGTTTACAGGAGTTGGACCACAGTGAAGAGGTTGGAACACAAGGTTTAATACTGCAGTAGTCGTAACTGCAGTCAGTTTTAGGCTCTTGCTTTTGTCACTTTATCTGGAGCAGGAGGGCTGTCAGTGAATTAAAGAATTTTAGATAAAGTAATTCTTTGGTTTGCAGTAGATATTTTAGCAGGTTAAGACCATAAACACAATGAAAGTTACAGGTGTGAAAGCTACAGAAGGCTTCTTTCTGCAGGAGCTCGAAAGCTGCTGTTTCTCTATGACAAATTTATTTTAATTGTAGTATTGCAACTAATTTCTAATCTGTTAGGCTCTAATGCAGTATTTCAAAATAGTTTTGTATTATATAAAATATAAATAATTTTATACTTTTTTATTTACATCTTTTCCCCAGAATTTGATTATTTTGGACCTATCTCATAATTATTTGAAGTCAGTAAATTTAGGATTGCAGCAACAGATGAAGAACCTTCGTGAGCTCATGTTGAATAGCAATCAAATCACTGAGTTAAAAAAGGATGACTTCAGTTTTCTCAGCAACACCTCATTGAAAAGTCTTGATTTGTCATCAAATCCACTGAAAGAGGTAGGAAGCATTTCAACAGAAATTCCACAGGTGTAAGTATAAAGTGGATTGTATGGCATTTATATTACACTTTTGATCCCCTGGGGTACAAGATAAAACCATTCTGTTGTATACAGCATTACTCCTGACCTCCATTAGTGATACACATAATTATTCTTCTCCCACTGAAATCGGCAAGAGCTGGTTCCGTCTAGATCAGAGGTCTCAAGGAAGAGTAAAATCAAGTAGCTCTGTGAACCTTTAGCAGGTATTTTTCTGTGCAGGATTTTTTTGGTACATGCTGAAGGTGAACAGCTGACATACTAAGTGGGGGGGAAAGGTGCAATATAATGCAAGGCAAATTATACAATTTAAGTCTCGCTTCCTAGCTAATCAAAGAGAATGTTCATTTGTGGCTGTGGAGTACCCCAGAGAAATAATCGCTGCAGAAAAGTACACTCGCTCCTTTAAAAAAACACAGGGGTGTTTTCTCTGCCATCTACCTTTCTGTTCTCTCTGACCTGCTTCTTAGTGTTACAGTATGATTCTTTGATGAGTGATGGTAAGTGTTGCAGTTCTAAACTGATTGACCCTTAGCATATGAATACTGAATTTGCATTGAATTAGCTTGGATTTTTTTCCCAGTTGATTAATCTGTAAAGAACATGTACCTTGAAATTACATTAATATTTTAAAGTGGCATAAGCTTGTACCACTGCTGAGAGGCAATCCCACTGTCCTCTTTCCCTTGGCCACTTCGTCCCCCCTCTTTCCGGTACAAACTTTAATGAGGCTGTGTACTCTATGTATTTATTGGCTTGGTTAATTTGTAATCAGGGTGGTTCCCTGTCTGGTTCACCACGTGACTGCATATATGACTATATTGGCATAAGGGTACAGTGTGTGGATAAGTAGATGGGACTGCTCCTTTCTTAGTGCTACTTTGTTAGTTTAAGATGCTCTGATTTTACAGTATTGCTGTCTGAAAAGCAGCCTTATGGATTCAAATCATTCTGACAAATAGAGTATTTAGTCATTCAGCTGAATCAAGATGATGGGCTAGCACTATGATGGAGACTTGTGATTTATATTGTGGAAGCAAGTGTGTAGTATATTTCGTGAGTGTAGCTTCTGCTTGCACAGAGAAACTGGGTTTCTTCTTGGCTGTCTGAAGGCCTAAATAAGTTTTACAGTAGTATGTTGGTACCACTAGCAGAAATGAAAGAATGCTGAAGAAAGAGATTATCTCAATTTCTATGATACTTCTGGCGAAAGAGTTTTCGTTGCTGGATACAAAATTGTAATTAATTTGCATCACTCTAAGGAAGCTTCTATCTTCTTCTGAAAGAGTACTACTCAGAATTAAGATACTCATGCTCCAATTTTAGAACTATTATCACAGGAAGTATAAACTACAAGAAGTGTTTGTCTGAACTCGGATGTGGAAAAATCTGAGTGTAGGAGTTACATTGTGCTTGAAAATCTCATTTGAAAACCTTTTCAGATTTTGGCTTTATTGGGTCAACTTCCTTACATAATCCCCTTGTTTAGGTCAAAACTATTTTTCTTTTTCCTTTTCAGATTCACATAGGATGTTTGCATGCAATTGGAAACCTGTTTGGTCTTGTACTGAATGATGTTAATCTTGGTGAAAATCTCACAAACAAACTTTGTACGGAATTATCAAACACAGCGATTCAGAACCTCTCACTGAGCCATGTGAAGCTTTCATACATTGGCAAGTCAACTTTCCAGGGACTGCAAGGAACAAATCTTACAGTTTTAAACCTTTCCCAAAATTCTCTGTCTGTGATAGAAGATGACTCATTTCAGTGGCTTTCAAGTTTACAGTACTTAAACCTGAAGCATAATAGCATTCATGTATCTTCACGTTTATTTTATGGATTATCCAGCCTCAAACATCTGAATTTGATAAATTCACTTAGTGGGAAAATTGAAGATTTTTCCTTCCATTGGTTATACCACCTGGAGTACCTTATAATGGATAATAACAATTTTCCAGGAATTACTGCTAATATGTTTACAGGTCTGAACAATCTGAGATACCTGAGTCTCTGTAACTGCAACATAAACTTAGCAAGAATAACTAATAAAACATTTTCATCACTTGCTAATTCCAGTTTGCAGGTTCTCAACCTCACAAAAACAAGAATCTCTACAATAGAAAGTGGGGCATTTTCCTCCTTGGGACACCTGAAAATTCTCGATCTTGGTCTCAATGAAATTAGTCAAGTGCTCACAGGTCACGAGTTTAAAGGTCTCAATAATATACAAGATATTTATCTTTCCTATAATAAAAACTTGGCTTTGCAAAGTGAATCATTCATTTTTGTCCCAAGCCTTAGAAAACTGATGCTGAGGAAAGTAGGTTGCAGTGATCTGGCACTTTCTCCTTCGCCTTTTCATCCTCTACAAAACCTGACTGTCCTGGACATCAGCAACAACAATATAGCAAACATAAAAGAAGACTTGTTTGATGGACTTCACAAACTTGACATTCTGGATTTGCAGCACAATAATTTAGCCCGACTTTGGAAACATGCAAATCCAGGTGGCCCTGTTCTTTTCTTAAAAGATCTTCCCAACTTGCGTATTCTTAATTTAAAATCAAATGGACTTGATGAGATTCCAGTTCAGGTTTTCAAGGGCTTGTTTCAATTAAAAGACCTAGATATGGGATCAAATAATTTGAATTTGCTTCCAGCAACTCTGTTTGATGACCAAGCCTCTCTGAATTCATTGAATCTTCAGAAAAATCTGATAACTTCAATTGAGGAAAAAGTGTTTGGCTCAGCTTTCAAGAACTTGAGAATACTAGAGATGGATTCCAATCCATTTGATTGCACCTGTGAAAGCATTGCTTGGTTTGCTGATTGGCTTAATGTGACCCAAGCATATATACCTGGATTGAGGTCCCAGTATATTTGCAACACCCCACCTAAATATCATGGTAGTCTGGTGTTGCATTTTGACAGCTCAGCCTGCAAAGACAGTGCTCCATTTAAACTTATGTTTGTGATCTCTACTACTAATGTGATACTACTCATTTTTATTGTTCTTATCATACATTTTGAAGGATGGAGAATAGCTTTCTACTGCAATATTGTAGTAAATCGAACACTTGGTTTTAAAGAACTTGACAGACAACAGGGAGAGTTTGATTATGATGCCTATGTTATTCATGCAAGACAGGACAAGAACTGGGTGTCTAAGAATTTCATCTCTCTGGAAAAAAAAAACCAATTTCAAATTAGGTTTTGTTTAGAAGAACGGGACTTTGAAGCAGGCATATCTGAATTTGAAGCCACAGTTAACAGTATGAAAAAGAGCAGGAAGATTATTTTTGTTGTGACTGAACACCTCTTACAGGATCCCTGGTGCAAAAAGTGAGTAGTATATAAAATTTCATATGTAAGGGGGAAAATTTCTTAACAGATTTTGTTAACTAGGTAATCTTTTTTTTTTTGCTGTGTAATTTAATCAAAAATACCATTTAATTAAAAAATGCAAATTCTATTTTAATGTATTTACGTAATGTATCGTAACTTCAGAATAGTTCCTAGGCTAATTGTTAAGTTAATTGCTCTACATGTACACTAGTGGAAATTTAAATCTCTTAGTCAATATATTATATTTATTTTCAAAAAGTCAGGCTGTCATCTGTGCAGATTGCTTTCCTTAACATTGCATGTTTGAAAAAGAGCTATAATGGGTGAGATCACTAGTATCCAAAGATGATTTTTATTTGGCTTTAAAAGAGTCTTTTCACCTTTCTTATGTAGTGATCTTGAAAAGAAGGGAACTTTTCTAAACAAGGCTATATCAAGACTTAGGTTATATTTTTAGAGGAGTTTTATTTTTCTTTAGTTAGAAAGTAACTAATTTAAGATAAGTAATGAGAATTTGATATCATAGGATAGATATTAAGATTCCTGTTTGAGTCCAGTCCTTGCGTTGCAATATGCTTTTATGTGAGCTATTAAAACAACTGTCATTTTTTTCTCTCCACATGAAAGAAAACATGTATTTTTGTCTTATTTTTTGCTTCAGTTTTAAGGTGTATCATGCTCTTCAGCAAGCTATTGAACAAAGTCGGGACTCCATCATCCTGATCTTTCTTCAGGATATCCAAGATTACAAATTGTATCATGCACTTCACCTGAGAAGAGGAATGTTCAGATCTCGATGCATCTTGAACTGGCCAGCACAGAAAGAACGAGTCAGTGCGTTTCATCAGCAATTACTGAGGGCACTTAAATCTAATAGTAAAGTGCACTGAATTTTGAAATTACAAATTTGAATTATGGGGTCTTTTTATTGCACGTTTTCTGTCATTGAAAATCTAACAAGCCTTCAGGAAGATCTGAAAAGGTTTGTCAGGCTGGAATGATATGTAAGAATCACTATAAATTTACTTGTCTATATTCATGTTTTTGCTGTTATTTTAATTCACCTGCACCAAAGTGACAGAATAGATCATGACTGATAATCATTTCAGTCTTCATGTGGGAGAAATTCTGAAAAGCAGTGAGAATGACTGATGTTCTGGTAAAAATGTCCATCTGATGTCATGCAGAAAAGACATAGACTCTCTACTTTAAAGTGATATGCAAAAGAGAATGCAATAATGATAAAATCACAAATTCAGTGTAGAAGGTAGAGTGGACGCTACTGCTTGCTTTCATAAGACAAAGGGAGATTCAGTGAAATTAAAATTGGAAAGCTTTCCTTGTGAAGCACAGTAATGTGGAAGATTTATTCTGCGGTTGAAACCAAGAAGCATAGCAGAGTTTTGGAGTTTTAAAACCTTTAAGAGAAAGCCACAGAAAGAAACTTGACCCTGTGTGCAGCTTGTTCAGAACATGCAGTGAAGGATTGCTTATGCTTTCTGGGTGGGGCTAGTACTGGTAACTATCAAAACAACATTTTCAGAGTAATGAGTCAACTGTGATTTAATCAATGTGGTATGACTGAAAGAAAAGTAGTTTTTACTCTTTCCTGCTGAAATTTAGAGAGCTGACAGAAGGACATACTGAGAGATGTCACCTTAATTCTTTGAATATGCATAAAACTATATGCAGGCCTTTATATATAACTTGAAATCAATGTGAAACATGGCTAAGGCACAGCTGATGCACCTGTAGAAAATGAGTAAAGGCATAGGTATTTCTGTAGCATCACCCGGATATAAGTTTGTGGGGGAGCTACTATAATTTCATTACTGAAAACAACAACAAAATACATTACCCCCACCCAAAAAAAAAAAAAAAAAGTTTTAAACTATCAGAAATATTACTGTGACTACAGTTACAGGTAGAGTGAGAAAAAAACTTCAAAAGTGTGTTGGTTTCCTTTTTTTTTTTTTTTTCCTTTTTATGACTATATATATAGTTTTGCCTGATACCTAAAAAGAAAATTATAAAGAAATCAGACAGAATTGTGTTTATTAATTTCTTGTATACTAATCTAGCTTGTTTTTTCCTTAACAAACGTTACAGGAACATGGGCTAGTTGGCAATTGCCAGAGCATTAAGGTTCTAACATACAGACTAGTAGCTTGATCTGTGGAGAGCTGAGAACGAGCAAAGTGTGCTCTGAAGGGATGTTTATAATGTTTGAGACTGGTTGCAATTGTATGGAGACTTTGAGCACAATTTACTAAATTAGACACTAAACAGTATGCTTTTATTAATATTTAATTGCTGCTCCAAGGACACTATAAAATGTCAATTTTTAGTAGGTGTATGAGCCCTCAGTAGCTCGGGAATATTTTTAAATGGCTTTTTCCCCCTAGCATTTCCCTCAACAATTTCAATAGCACCATTACTCCAAGAATGCTGTTTTACTGCTTTAGAAAACAGCTTTCAGGTAGTTCAATACTTAACATTTTAAGCAGGTTTTCCCATGATATGTTATATGCATAGATGAAAAACACTGGTTTTTAACATGTTTGTATGTCCTATGATGATAAAAAATGTAAATGAGAAAAATAATTAATGAAATAGATTTGCATGCACCTGAAGAGTGAAGGGGATGTAGACTGTCTTCACTTGCCTAGGAAGTCCTGAGTGAAAAAGGCTTTGTTTACAGCTGAAGTGATAGATGAGGATTCCCTAATTACAGTAATAGGATTATCCCCATTGTGATGCTTTCATCTCATCTTTCTGACCTTTTCAGGTGAAGTGACAAATTCTTTCTTCATCTTAGGCCATGAAAGTTGAGGAGGCAGGTCGGTAAGGATGGGGTGCCAGGTATGCACCATGTCAGTTATTTGTTCTCTTATTTAAAGACTAACATGTGAAAGGTTTCCTGTATTTCCTAAATGGGTAGCAATGCATAGTAGCAGAATTTCTCATTCCACATCAATATAAATTGCTCAGAAAATGTTAGCAGTTCACATGGATATTAAAAAATTACATAAAGATGCAAAGAATGCATGGAAAAATGCTGAAGTGAAATGTGATGCAAGAGGTCAGACTACGTGATCAAATGGTCTTTTCTGGCCCTTAAACCATGACAAATGACAGCATGTCTAAATTATAAAGATTTTTCTTGCTGCTATAAATGCCCCCAAAGTCAGTCTCAGAACAGTGAAAAAATGTGTTAGAGATGCTTAGTTTTGTAATATAGCTACAAACTAAATGTACTCGCTGATGAGTGAAAATAATTTTAATTGACAAAAATATTACGATGCATTCTAAACAGTTATTTTAGTATCTACATTCAGTTTAAAATAATTTACAACAGAGAAAGACATTATAAAGGCTCACAATGAAAGCACAAAAAAGTGCACAAAAGCCATAAACACAGGGCCAATGGTAATCATCAATTATACTTGTCATAAAATTTTCATATAAATTTTCCCCGTTTGTCTGGAAGTTACTAGTTTCTGCTCTGTTCCTGTACATTTGTTTGACAATATTATTGAGAGTAAATGAGTTTACTGTGGTGAAGGGTTGTAAATGCTTTCAGGATTAACAGTCTGTATCTGAGCTGGGTAGTTGCTTTGCAGGGGGCAGCATCAGACTATAATATACTGATTTGCTGAGGAATTGGATACCAAATAAATGAAAAACTGTTCCAAACATAGTTTCAAAAACATTATGTAGGACTAGAAATCATCTGATTTGAAAGCAGAATATTTAAAGGACTTGAGTGAGGCAGAATGCTAAGTCTGTAGATCTGGGGTGGAACCTGACAGTTTCAGTGGTTCCTGAATCAGGAGGAGTAAGGATCAAGTTCTAGACAGCAATGTTCATAATTGGTTCTATTCCAGGTCTTCATGCAGGGTTGCTTTCAGGCTGCAGCTGAGATAAACACTATACCTCTTCAGGCAAAGTGACAAATTCTTTCTTTGTGCTTAGGCCATGGAAGTTGAGGAGGCTACTCACTAAGTACCGCACACCAGTGTGCTCAATTATGCTACTTTCACTGTGGCTTAGTCAAGGATTTTTGACATGGTGAGGAATAAATGCAGTTCATACTGCTGCTAGGTTTGTATGGACCTGTTCCATAAGGTTTGGTCAGAACGTGTTTTTCAGTTTGTAAGAAAAAACCCAAGAATATCCCAATTCCAAATCACAGTCCTCTGCTTGGTGTCGTGTGTGCCCTGCTCTGCCAGGTCGTTGCACTCCTTGATGTGCTTGGAAGACAAGGCAGGGATAAAATTCCCCACTTTGTACCCTTGGCTGTTGTCTACCAGCAGCTGCCAGCTTTAAGTTTATAGTGCAACTAGATATAGTTGCTTGATGTATGATCCTGGGCTCGTACGTATAGAGCAACTGTGCTATCCTTTAGCCGGTGCTGTTCTTTTGGACGTTGCCAAGGGCCATGCTCCTTACCATATTCTGAGCTGCCTGTCCATAATACCAGCCGTTACAGTGTCCTCAGGCTGCTGCTGGCATGACCATACTTCTCTGCGTCCATGCGGGCAACCCAGTGTTGCAAAGCTAGGGCAGTTATGCCCCAGCCCCCAACTCATCTGCCTCCAGCTGTCTGGCTTGTGCCACTGCTGCTGGTGTTTGTAGCAAGAGAGGGAAGTCTTTGATCCCGCCCTCCGCTGCTCTCCAGGCTGGCTGGGATTTGCCGGCATCTTTGCCCTTGGGCTCTTGTTCCTCCGCAGGTGCTTTCTGCGGTTGCCTGACGTGGTGTAAAGAAGGTTGTACTGGGTGGGTGCGGTCTAGCTCCCCACTTCTGTTAAACCCTTTGGGTGCACAACTGCGTGAAGGGTTTGTGGTGAGGCCCTGCGGCCCGGTGCAGATGGAGTTGGTTTCTGTCCCTTAATACTAGATGGGATTTTAACTAAAGGGAACGCGTCGTTGCCTCCGCTCCCAGGCTCCCACAGGTTACTGCCCTCCGCTTCCACACGCCGCCCCGGTGCGCAGGCGGATGGCGACTCGCGGCTTTTCCCCCTGCGCCGTGCAGCCCGCCGGGGCCCGCACCGCCCTCGGCGGGTTTGTTTAGCCTAGCAACGCCCGCC